TTTATACAGAAAAAAACCAAAAAAAAAAAAGAAAAAAAAAGAGTATAGGGGTATTATCCTAAGAAACTACCTGAATTGATCATAGGTTCAATGGTAAATATTTGTCCTGCCTTCATTACTCCAACAGCCTTATTTCCTTTGAGAAGCTCAGGTTAAGGTCTAAACGGCGAACATGAAATTCACCTCGATAATAAATAAATAAATAAAATAAAACAAAATAGTTCCTATCAAGTCTTAAGGATACTGGCATAATGTGGTATATTCGGAGCACAATGGAACAGCTCACCAATACCATGACCACAGTAAGATCTCACCTACAATAGCATGGCACCAGGACAGGGGAGTTGTTTAAGACGTGTATCCAAACTTGAACAAAATAAGATAGAAAAATCGTAAATAGTAATATTAAAAGAAGTCTTACTTACCACAGATAAACCGGACATGGAAGCATGTCGATTTATAATCTCCCCAATTTCTCGGAAACGAACTCCAGGTTTAACTGAGGAAAGCATAAACGGGCAATAACCGATTGAAAAGGAACAACCAAAGTGGCATGCAATATTTTGCTTTATTACAAAACAAAAAAGCGGCATAAAATATCGTGACCGATTAAATTCACAGGCCAAAACACTTACCAGCTGCTATTGCTTTCTCCAAGCATTCATATGTGCCTTGAACAAGGCGTTTAGATGCCTCATCAACATTGCCAACGAAGAATGTTTCATTTAAGTCACCTGTATGGATACAAACATGCAAAAGTCATTATCATATCTCTAGCAACAGAATTTCAAGATACAAATAATGGCCTTCAGCTTGCCCGGTTTTACATACCATGTACGCCTTTATAGTACACAGTAACATCAACATTTACAATGTCCCCATCCTCTAATTTCCTGGAAAGGTAAAATACAGTACAAATTATATGAGATGGAATTATTACTTACAAACTAATTATGAACATTATCAAAAACAAAATGAATAATGGCATTTCATAGTTTTCAGAATCAAACAGAAGCCAAACTGTTCGACTCGTAAGCAAACAAGTTTCTTCTCGCTCGTGCTTAAAGGTTCTCAAGCCATGCAAAACAAATAAGTCTACAGAGCACCAACTCTAAGATCTACCTTGCATCTGGAATTCCATGGCAAATCACCTCATTTACTGATCTGGAGAAAAAAAATAATAGTTATGATGAAAAGCACAGTCCTAACATATTCTGAAATCTAGAGCATAAATGAAAGAGAATCCTGTTCAGAAATACCTACGTGCAGCAAGACTTTGGGAAAAAATAGTAATTTAATGGAGATGGATATCCTCCTGCAAGAGTAGAGCAAATAAAGGGACCATCGCCATTACAGTGAAACTGTATTTCTACACATGGAACCTATACATAAAAAGGGAAAGGGCAGCAAACTTAAACAAACCAGCAGCAATTGTTGCATCGTGGACCACAGCATCAATTTCATCAGTAGTAATCCCAGGTCGTATGACACGAGCAGCAGCATCCAAAACTTCCCTAGCTATCTGGAGATAAAACAAAATTAGATGCGAATCCCGGGTGTGATATCAACTCATTATGCTAGCATCTTTTTTTCGTCAGGTTTATATATAATGCTATAGTTTGCATGCAGACATGGATGTGTTAAAAACCCCTCATTTACCACGAGTTTTGCTCAATGTTTTTCAGTTATACTCTGGTCAACCTCCTAATATTCTGAAAACCAAATAAATTTCGGGGCCTCATGCATGTTGTACAAGATTTCTTCCAACAACAACCTTCTCAAAACATTTAAACACGTGATGAACTCCGTAATAAAACTCATACAAAGAATATAGAACGGCATACTTTTTCTTCAGTATTAATAGACCAACATAGGGACTTACTCGGCAAGTTTCGCGCATTCTTGCAATTTGATCTGGAGTCTTGATCTTCAAAAAGTGAATGAATAAAGGAATCAGCATAGGTAACATCTTATTTTCTAGTATAATAGGTAAGTAACAACACAAAATTACCTCAACAACACGTTGCAGATCACTGTTCGGCTCAATTTTAGGTGTTCCCTGAAAAAAGTTACGTAAAAAGATTAGCCTTTCTCTCTCTTTTTTTTTTTTTTTNTGGGGGGGTTGGGGGGTCTGTGGTTCGAGAACAGAAAATTCGTCAATGAACAGGGTTTCATCAAATGAATTAATCATAGATGAAAATTCTTACAGAACTCCAACTGATTAATGCATAATGCTTGAGCATCTAAAGAATTCAAACTAGGTACTTACATCAATTGCCCAGTCAGGTAGTTCAATGTGGTGAGGCACTGGCCGTCTTTTTGATATTGGATATGGCCTTAATGATCTGAAAGTGGGGGGAAAAATACAACAGGCCAAAAGCTAAGCACAAAGTTTCATAATTGTAAACTAAATTTGAAAAAACAGGAAAAAAAAAAGTTTGCATTGTAATTGGAAGGGTTAGAAAAGTCAAGCCATAGGATAGGAAATGCGGAAAACAAATGTCACTACAAGCAAGTAGTTCTAAGGTGGAAATCCTATATTATTATCTATTATGCTTTAAAAAAATCAAACCGAAAGTCAGAAAGAAATAAGGTCAACATCAAAGGGAAGAAAATAAACAAATAAATAAAAGGTAAGTATTACTACCCAGTCCAGTCAAAATGTGGAAGATTGGGCGTCCGAGCCTGCCCTTTCCTCAAGCAGTAGAGCCAACCATCATTGGGCGAGCCTGAATTTTGCTCCCCAGGGTTTTCAGGTGGGGAGGATGAAATCTTTGCCTTCACATGCACAGATTTATGAGAACTCCAAGATTCCTTGAAACATTCTTGAGAACTGAAAACGTGAAAAAGGACTCAAATTCATTTAACAGTAGCGCATGACAGTTTATAAACTAGAAACATTCTCAGCAGGCTTAATAGTATACAACTATGCATACAATTTTGCTATGGAGCCATCGGATGGCTCGACTTATGGAGCCATCCACACTTATTCACCAATACACACGTGCCCTACAGTAAATTCAATTTGGACAGGTGTCAATACATTAAGTGGTGGATGATTCCATAAGAAAACCATTTGATGGTTCCATAGAATTTTTTACTATCCATAACCCAAAGAATCATTTCTCATTAGAAAGTTCAAGCAAAAGGCACCAGAAAAAACAAATCATTCACAGATTATCATCAAGCACCAAGTATATAGTTCAATTATACTCTGTTAAGCTAAAAGCTCATAAACATCTAATCCAGCTTCAACTGCCACACATATCAAAATTCAGGAATTTTTCAATGATTTGATAAAAAACGACATTAGAGCTGAAACGAAAGAACGAACCAGAAAGCAGCACCTTCCCGGGGGAGCTTTAGCTCAACACATTTCGGGCACCTGCAGGAAATGTTACACGTCAAGCAAAATGCAGAAACTAAATCACACACACTAAACAGACTACGTACTGGAGATGAGCAGGTTTTCCGCATTTAGCACACGATAAAGATGTAGTCTCCGCCGCATCTGATCCACCAGCCATGACTGCACCACCGCGTGAAGCTCAATTTCATTAGAACAAATAGAAAACGCCATCAAATTACACCATTTAACGTTTCTGAATAGCTAATTCGACAAAGGTAGACCAATTAATTCAACAATCATTGTTAGATGAAATACCTTACTTCAGTAATGGCGATCGTAACACGAGGAATTTCAGGTGAAGAGCTAGGGTTTTCCAGATAAAAAAAAGGGGATAGATTGAGGGTTTATGGAGTCTGAAGTATGAAAGCTCTTCTTATAAAAAGAAAATTATTTTCAATTTTTAATTATTTTTCTAATAGTATCTTCTATCTAATTGGTTTGTTTATTGCTATTTTGACATAACTAAACGAGTATATTTAGTACAACTAGTGTGTACCCCGTGCGATGCACGGGAACAATATTAAATTAAAAATATTATAAATAGACCATGAGTTTGAGTCACTCAATGGCGGAAGTGGAAACTACTATTGATCCTATTTAAAAAGAGGAAGAAAAAATAATAATTATAAATTCAAGAGGAGGATAAACAATACTTAATAATTATATTAAAGATTCGGGGTCAAACAATGTGAAATTATTATGTATAAGAGAATATAAAAAAATTTAATTACACACCATTTCAAAATTATTATTATACTTTTTTGTATGATTAACTTATAATATTTGTAAAAATATTAGTAATTAGACCGATGAAAATTAGCTTCTTAAAGTAGATAATGGATTTCTATTAGTAATTATGAATTAGTTTATGTTTTATTTTATTTTTTATTTTTAAAGATAATGGATTTCTAGTAGTAATTATGAATTGGTTTCTATTTTATTTTATTTTTTCAAATCTGTATAGATAAGGGATGAGATTTTTTAAACACGTGAGACGTATGCAGTGGGATTTTGCAACAGAAGAGATAAGCTCGTGTAGATTTATACTAAAAATAGGAAAAAATAAAACAAATATTTATTATCGAACAACGGTTTTGATAAACTAAAAAATAGGAAAAAGAGAAACAAATCTTTACACAATTATTGAGCCAATTTATTTGCCTATTCAAATTTGTCCAGCAATTACTATATATAGAATATATTTAATGATTTTGGCGGGAAAAATGTTTCTAAATTTGTAAAAAGGTTATTCTTTTTATATAATGATAGATGTTCATGGTTTCAAATACATAATCAAAATATATATTAAAAATTAAATAAAAGATAATTAAATAAAAATTAAATAAAAGATAATTTAAAAAAGAATGAATATAATCAATAAAAAATTATATGTAAAAAGAATAAAGATTATAAGACTAAAACACAAATTCATCAAACTATTATGTTTAATTATTCCTCATATAATACAATGTAAAAAGATATTCAACATACATTCAATTTAATAAATATGATCAATTCATTTCATAATCAAATGTACCATAGAAAAATCAAACGAATTGGATATATAATAACGTGTGTAAGTTCAAGTCTTCATAGGTGAGTCGAATCGGGTTATGTTCGTTTATCAATATTAACAAGCTAGCTAAGATAAATATTCAAAACATTATGTAAAAATAATATTCACTTTTGTCTTTAGTCTTTACGAACGGTGAGCTCGGCTCGACTAAACGAACTTTAAACAATCCATCCGCTCAAAAAGGGCTTTAGGCCCATTACATTGAAAATACATTCAATCCACAGCCCTTCGGGGAATGCGGAGTATATTTCCTGAGTTGGGCCTGACCATATTATGATCCATATAAATTAGCTAGTTGGCTATTTTCTCATATTTTAATTCCAATCATAGTTGAATTGTATTATTATTATTATTTGATTGTAATTTATTAATAACCACAACCATTGAAAATGTCAACGGAATTATATGCTGGTGATTTAATAATAATAAACTACGCATATATAATATAAATAGTGAGTTGTTATCCATCATATAATTGCTATCTATTACTATATATCAATTTTATTCATCTTGTTATCTTCCTGTCTGGGGCTTATTGGGGACGTGGATGTCATCTTAGGCAAGAAAAAATATATGTGATCCCATTAATCTAATTTTTTAATTTATGAATCCCAGAAGATTAATTCGAAAACAGTGTAAATTTGGCTATTAAATTACTGTATTTATTTTCTAAAATGATAAAACTACATGTGTCTCTAAGCGTAGCAGTAACAATAATAGTAAAATAATACTGTACTTACTAATGGTGTAATTACGAGGCACAATTTGTCTCAACTCTTAAATAACATTTACGAGTTTCAATATCTGGCCATGTTTGACAATTTCAGAACCACTAATTCGGCTCTTCGATTTTGCTATGAAGTCAATAGTTGACTTTATAGTGGAGTCAACTTTCTATATACAACAAGTAAATCATACCATATTACTAAAATTATTAGTATTATTTAAGGAATTTTAGTAATATGGTATGATTTACTTGTGATTTGGCTTCATAACAAAACCGTTCTAACTCTTAGGCAAAAAGTATGTGAATACAACTAACATATTAATGATGAAAGGTAAACCTTGTTTGTAAAATAGCGGTCAAAACGCTATTTTAGCTTCTTTAACCAAAAATTGAATCGCTGATATTGATTTTATTTATGTTTGGTAAATCAGCTTTTGAGTTCCTTATCCGCCAATTGAAACGCTGAAAATGAAACGCTGGTTTCTAGAACATTTTGGATTAGCTTATTTGAGTCCATCAATTCAAATATTTTGTTCAAGTGCTTATCCGTATAATTTGGTGTGTTAATATGCCTTTATTCCTTTTTTTTCTTTTTGTAGCCGTGGAAAAAAAAGAGTTGTGTACTAATAAGCTATATTAATATTTTAATATTAAAAAACACTAACACATGAGCATAATTTATGGTCAATAATGAGTAATTTGTTACACAAGTCAATAGTTTTATTTTGCTACTTATAGAAAGAAAATCTAAATCTAATTATTGTACAAATTACCATTTACCTTTATGTTATTTTATTTCCTATTTTCAAAATTCAAATATCAAAAAATTATGTATATTATTGCAATTAATATAAAGATTGATATGCAAATTAAATAGTTTATATTATACCGTTCATTTTTACTAATGATAAAATTTTTAAAATGTGATATACTCATTATCCAATTTATGATTTTAAATATTACATACACACACATATAATATATAAATTTTATTTTGCGTTGTTGAAAAATATAAATGATTAATATGATTTTAAATATTACATACACACACATATGACATATAAATTTTATTTTACGTTGTTGAAAAATATAAATGATTAAGATTAATCATTTACCAGACACAAATTTTATGTAAATATAATATTAATATTTAAACACAATTCTTAAAGTACTATTTTTTATGTAAATATAAATAATTAATTAGTAAACAGCTGAATTTACAGCTGAATTTACAAAAAACAATTTTACAAGCCGCTAATGTAATCTGTCGGTCAAAACAACTAATGCAATACGCTGGCTAAAACAGCTGATACAATCCACTAACCGCCAACAGCTAACCGCGGAGGGCCAAACAAGCCTTTTATGTTTTAAAAGTCATGTTTCATTGCAATGGGTGATTAACACTCGTACAATTAGTGAATATCATAGACACATGTCATTTATCTAACAAAATGATTAAAACATCAATTCGGACTTAACATTGAAATACAAAATCTCGTCTCGTTAATCACCATTTATATTTTTTTATATAAACTCGAGCTAACGTTCTATCACTCTTGACCTTAACGAGTTATTGCTCGGGAATAATCGTTCAATTCCCGTGCGTCGAGTTATTTTGAAGAATTGTATTGAAATATCGAGCTCATATCAGATGCTATATTACATAAATAAATAAATATATTGCAAAAACGTAGACGAGAGGGCATTATCAAGAAAGTTACTATATAGAACAAGTCAAATTAGATAATTTCTCAAAATATTTGTAGGTTAACCAAGTAGCATGTAGTTAAATTTTAAGTCGTTGTCGATCATTGAATGCCCCCAAATTATTGTCTTGCCACATTTTTAATCCCTTTCTCGTTTTCGGTTCAGTCGAATTATTGTTCAAAACTATTAGCTGATGTATATATTAAAATTATAATGAAATTTAAAGTCGTCGTTTTTTTTTTTCCTTCTTTTCCTTTTTTTCTGTATACATAAATGTCATCGAATTTCACTTACTACGGGAATATGGCTTTGTAGAGGTCAGTCACCGATGATAATGATTATAATAAATATTAATTAGGCAGGTTTTGAAATAAAATCAAAAATATTACCCGTGGGTTACATTAACAATACATTAATAATAATAATAATAATAAAAATGACCTACTTACTAAATTACAGCTGTGCATAGATTAATTCAGTGTAACACGGTTCAAAACTTGTTAACACTGTTCAAAGTCCAAATCTCAATATCATTCTTTTCAGTGTATTATAATTATGAAAAAGTTAATTAATCTGGAGGAAATGGCATAGCATTATGATTTAATTACTGTCAATGCTATATATACATATACACACACATATTATTATAAGTAACTAACGCGGTTCAGATTAAATAATGATATTTGGGTTTATTTAATTAATTAGGAATTAGAACTTCACCACTAGCCATTAATTTAATTGTAATTAAGTATAAAACCAAACTAGGTCATAGGATTATTTCGTGTACGTGTTTCCTGCCTTCCCTAGTTTCTATCTTCCAATTTTCCCAAATGTCAACTCTCATAAAGAATGTGATAAGTATTTATTTTGGTAGTCATATTAATGATAAATTAATGACTTGGATAATATCCTCTATCAAAAACACCAATAGAAAATTAAATTAAAATAAAGTATATACATATTTTAACATATTATACATTAGTCACCAACCCCATGATTTCAAGTAGTTACAACTTACATGCACATACATAAGACACCAAAAAATATTGTTAATAATGCTCCCCAATCACCACCACAACTTCATTATTAGCCCTTCTTTTTTCCTTTCCCTATATAAGCAATAAAACCAATAAACTCCACAAAAACACCAACAAAAAGCCTATACCTAACCTAGCAACAATGGCTACAACATTTCTCACAACCCTTGTCCTAATCTCCTCCTTGTTCATTTCTACAACCATCTCTACATCTAACTCTCAAGCTACAATCAAGGCTTGGTGCAACCAAACCCCACACCCGCAAACGTGCGAGTACTTCTTCACGAACAACCCTAAATACAGAGTCCCGATCGGGAAGAAATCCGATTTCTTCAGACTATCGGCCGAACTGGCCCTAGACCGGTGCATGCACGTGCAGAACAATTTCTACGCGCTCGGTCCAAAATGCCGCAACCAGCGCGAAAAGGCCGCGTGGGCTGACTGCATCGAGCTCTACGAACACACCATCCGTAAAATCAACAGAACTGTCGATCCCATGTGCTCGCCGGCTGACGCGCAGACCTGGTTGAGCTCTGCCCTGACGAATCTCGAGACGTGCAGATTAGGGTTTCAAGATTTCGGCATAACCGACAATTACATCTTTCCCTTCACCTCGAATAACGTGACCCTATTGCTAAGCAATACCCTAGCAATCAACAAGGAGGCTTCGAGCAAATACGAAAAGCCGAGGTATACGGAAGGGTTCCCAGACTGGGTTCGACCCGGTGAGCGAAAACTACTCCAATCCTCCACTCCACGTGTCGATGCGGTGGTGGCGCAAGATGGGTCTGGAAACTTTCGAACGGTGGGCGAAGCAGTGAAAGCCATCGGAAAACGATCGGGTAGCGGGAGGTACGTGATCCATGTGAAACAAGGGACGTATAGGGAGAATGTGGAGATTGGGACGAGTTTGAAGAATATAATGTTGTTGGGCGATGGTATCGGGAAGACTATTATCACCGGAAGTCGAAGCGTGGACGGAGGCTCCACCACCTTCAAGTCAGCCACGGTTGGTAAGTCAAATCGTGACTTGTTTTACGGTCACATTCTTGGTAGATATATATCACTATATATTATTCGAAAAATTGCTGTGAATCTCTAATAGATTCGTTATTATATACGAAATTAAATCAAAGTTAGCAAACTAAACTTAGATATTATCTAATTTAAAAGATGTAAGAAGAACATTTATTAAAAGTAACAATCTCTAACACTTAAAAGAGAAAAATAAATATGACTTCGTTTGGATATACCATCTTTATTGGTAGTGTTTTGTTTTGACGTGATAAAACTGCTAAAATTTATATTTGGTTAAATTGTTTTTTACTTTAGCTTATTTGATGTAGCTTATTTGATGAATAAGTTGAAAAAGAAATACGCTAACTTCAGGACATTTTTGCACGAGCTGACGGCAGATGAGATAAATTTTCCACTTTTTAATTTTTTAAAATATCTGCACCATTCGTTGAATTGGACGATTATTTTTTTCTTACAACTAAAAGTTCACAAAACAATAGTCACTTTTTGTGTAGATGCATAGTAAGACTGTTTTTAGAATTAATGCTTAGTTATTTATTTGCAATTCATTTATTATTTACAATTTAAATAAATAAATACAACCAATAATAGTTATTTGTACTTTATTCAAATATACAAAGTACAAATAATTTGTAAATTTTCACAATCGTAACAACTAATATTGATCGTTAATTCTACCAAACACTTCTTACAAAAAGCATAAAATGCACTAATTGGTGATGCTGACAATTGATTGTCAAACAAAGTCAATACTATGGTTTTTTTTAAATTACCAAAACATTTCCCTAATTCTCTCTTTTTTTCGCCCTTCGACAGCCGTTGTGGGCGACGGGTTCATCGCCCGTGGCATCACCTTCCGGAATACGGCCGGCCCACAGAAACACCAGGCGGTGGCCCTCCGGTCTGGGTCGGACCTATCCGTTTTCTACCAATGCAGCTTCGAGGGGTATCAGGACACGCTGTACGTCCACTCCAATCGCCAGTTCTACCGCGACTGCGACATCTACGGCACTGTCGACTTCATATTCGGAAACGCGGCCGTCGTTTTCCAAAACTGCAACATTTACCCACGGGACCCGCCCAACCGGACCAACACCATCACGGCCCAGGGTCGGACAGACCCTAACCAGAACACAGGAATCTCGATCCACGAATGTCGGGTCGCGGCCGCCCCAGACCTCCGCCCGAAGCTGAGGTCCGTGCGCACGTACCTCGGCCGGCCGTGGAAGGAGTACTCGCGCACGGTTTTCATGAAGACGTCGTTAGACGGGTCGATCGACCCGGCCGGGTGGATGCCGTGGAGCGGGAATTTCGCACTCAACACTTTATATTATGGGGAGTACGCGAACACGGGGCCCGGCTCGTCGACTTCGGGCCGGGTCAAGTGGAAGGGGTATCGGGTGATCACGAGCGCGGCCGAGGCGGCCCAGTTTGCGCCGGGGAACTTTATCTCGGCCGGTTCTTGGCTGCCGGCGACCAGTGTGCCGTTCACTTCAGCTCTATGATGAATTTTTTATGTGTTTTTATTTTCGTTTTTTCTTTTTGCTGGTTTTTATAAATTTATTTGTGTTTCATGATTTTTTCCGCTTAAATATTCTTTTAATGTTGTATTTGTCATTGTGTGAAAAATAATAATATGTGAAGAATAACAATTTTAAGTATTGATTTCTTTTTTATTATTGGTCCTTTGTAGAGAATTTGGTTCCCTTATCCAGTTATCCAGTTATCCGTACCTTGCAATAACGAGCCGACCCTAGCTCACTCTCACCTAGCTCGGCTCGTTAAATAAATGATTCGAAAATCGAGCTTGAGTTTAGTTCATTTGTTAATATTTTTCTCGAGCTGAATTTGAGTCTTAACTAGCAGATTTCGAGCTTAACTAGTCGAGCTATAGAAAATTATACAAAATATTTGTTTTCGAGACGAACTATAGAAAGTTATATAAAAAAATTATTTTCGAGCCTCGTTGAGGCAAGTCGAGCTCGGCTCGTTAACAAAATGGCTTTAAGCGAGAGCTCGAGCTTGGTTCGTATATCAAACGAGTTGAGACAAATTTAAGTCTTAACGAGTCGAGTCGAGCGGAGTTTACGAACGACTCGTTTCGTTTAACAGCGGTTGGGGCTTTGTGTTATAATTTGAATTTAATGGCCCATGGTTTGTTTTGTAGTATTGGCTCATAAACTTGTTATGAAGCAGGCCATGGATAATTGGGCCTAAATATAGATCTTTATGTGCCTTTGTGAAGCAACCTTAGAAAATTGGGCCTAAATACATCTTTTAAGAAGTTGGTTGATATTTTCACGATAATTGTGGCAAGTAAACTCATCATCAGTTCATGTTCATCACATCTTTGTATGTTTATTTATTTTATTTTATTATTTGTACTGATGGACCCAACTTTTGGGACCTTGGGACCAACAAACAAAATTGGCACTCGCAATTAGTTGATGTAACTAGGGCACGAGCAATCAAAGTTCCCTAAGAACAAGGCAATATCAATTTAATTCAACATTGATTTGGTTCACATATGTGTACGTAGATTTTTTATTTGTACCAGTGTACCCCATATGAAAGCTATATTTGAATTTCTATATTACAAAATAATTGTGTTATTACAAATTTCAAATGTCACTTGAAAGTTGAAAGTGATGTATTCAATCAAACAAAACGTAGGAGGACTCTTGAAATTGTCAATAACGCGAAATTATCGTTCATTTGGTTTGATTTGGGTTTTTAAGTAATATTTATTTTGCACAATATTTTGTTTCACGCACCCTAATGATCAAATTTTATTCTTACAACGTGTTGAAAAATATGAAAGTTGTACTTTGCAGCGTGTTGAAAATTATTGTTTTGGTTACATTTGTTTTCAGAAACTATCAATAAATAACATAGTTCAAACTTTAGAGCATGTTTGTTTACAAAAATTTTTAAAAAAATTTCAACATTTTAACTCAATCATTTTTTTTAACTCAACCCTACTATTATCAATATAATTAAATAATATCAATCAATCATTCATACACATTACAACAACCTTAATTTACTATTCATCCACTCATATTATTTTAACTAACTATCAATTCATATCATCTCTTTCCTACTTTTACATCAAATCAATTTTAATTATTTTATTTTAAATATTATTTTAATATATCCACTAACACCTAACCATATCACTTTTTTCAAAATTAACCAAATCAAACCAAAAAATCCAAACAAAACCAAAAATTTTCATAAACAAACATGTTAGAGTTTTGAAATTCCTTCGATGTGAACCAACTTATATTTTCACACTATTTTCACTCCATATTTTGTTGAGCCTTGAAAAGGACAATTGTGGTGATGCATTACATGGCGCCTAAGAAGAGTCAACAAATTAGGGTGAGCGAATTATGAAGTCTTCGTATGCGTAGCATAAAAGGATGAAAAGGAAATGTTAATTTTTCATAATCATTACTGAAAGATCCCAAATTGGGGGACACTTGAGGCTGCAAATTGCAAGAAAAATAATTAGTTTATAGAAAAATAGTGTTATTAGTGGTATAAACACATTATTAAAGAGATGAGACTAGTCCACGAATTATGATCTTTATGATCTTTATGAATCATTTGAGCCAGGATTAAATTATACTACCTCCTTTTTTTTATAAATGTCATTTTTGTTTTATCAACAATTAATAAAATAAATGACATTTTAGATCTTTTATATATATTTTTTCATTATTACTCTTATCTAGCTAATAAATACACTATGTCTTTTTCATATTCACTATTCAAACATCTATCTCTATCCTCATTAATGAGGGTTATTATTAGCAAAAAAAAAATATCCTTAATTACTGTGTAACTTCTCAAAACGACACTTATTAAAAAAATGAGAGAGTACTTACTTTAGAAAGAAAAAATTTTGTAGCTATATATTACTCCCTCCTATTGTTTTTAAATATCATTTTGGCTTTGTCAACAATTTACTAAATAAATGTCGTTTTGGATCTTTTATACTCCCTCCATTTTGAAATATAAGGCGTATAAAGATTTCTCAATTTTTTTGAAATATAAGGCGCGCTCAAAAATCAAGACAAATTTTTGTATTTTTTTTTAAATATACCCTCATTGTGTTGAAATTAAGGAAGTGTGGAGTGGTTGTGATTAGAGTAAATAAGGTTAATTTAGTCAATTTATTCATTAATTAATGTCTCCTTAATATTTGTGCAATAACCTTAAATGTCTTATATTTCAAATGAAGGGAGTACATATTTTTCCATTATTACCCCCATCCAGCTAATAAATACACTACGTCTTTTCATATTCACTTCATATTCACTCTTCATCTTTTCTCAAAACATTCATATTTTTTCCCAAAACATTCATCTCTATCCTCATAAATGCCTTATATTTCAAAATGGAGGGAGTACATATTTTTCCATTATTACCCTCATCCAGCTAATAAATACACTACTACGTCTTTTCATATTCACTTTTCATCTTTTCTCAAAATATCCATATCTTTTCTCAAAACATTCATCTCTATCCTCATAAAATGATTCATATTCACTCTTCATCTTTTCTCAAAACATTCATCTCTATCTTCATATTTTCTCAAAACATCCATCTCTATCCTCATAAAATGATTCATATTCACTCTTCATATTTTCTCAAAACATCCATCTCTATCCTCATCTCAAAACATCCATCATCCATCTCTATCCTCATAAAATGATTCATATTCACTCTTCATATTTTCTCAAAACATCCATCTCTATCCTCATCTCAAAACATCCATCTCTATCCTCATTAAATGATTCATATTCACTCTTCATCTCATTAACGAGGGTTATTATTAGCAAAAAAATGATTCTTAATTAATGTGCCAACTTCTATTCACTCTTCATCTTTCTCATAACATCCATCTCTATCTTCATTAACGAAGGTTATTATTGGCAAAAAAATAATTTTTAATTACTGTACAACTTCTCAATACGACATTTATTAAAAATAGGAGAGAGTATAATTTTGTAAGAATTTAAAATTATAATAAATAAAAAATTAAAAAATAAATAAAAAATAGCTCATAATATATTGGCAATGTTTATTTAAAATATAGTATATTCTAAAAATTTTCCAAAATCTAGTACAAAATAACAAACATTAACCAAAATCCCTAGTTATTCATTTAATAACAATAACAATAATAATAATAACACACCAATCAACACAAATCACGCGATTATCGTCATCATCACATTCAAGACATTCTCAAACTCTTATCTCCTTTTTTCCAGGTCCACGTCAGCAATTTTCGCGCACACTGAACCTCCTTAATCCGGGTCCTGACCCGCTCGAAGTCCGAGATCCGACAGGGTATGGTTATCCCGCCCGGATGGTTGAACCCGTATTCCTTTTCGGACTCTCTCAGCAAATCCTCGAACAGAGGATGGTTAAAATACACGACCGGCACCAAAACCCTCTCGAAATCGCCGTCTTTTTGGCCGACGTACACCGCCAGGTGGCCCTTCGGAACGGTTCCGGGTCTGGAACACGGTTCTTGCCCGACCCGGATGTACCCGCGCCCTGTTTGCAGAATCGCCCTTGCCTTCGTCGTGAGGCGCCGGGTCCACGCCGCGAGTCTTGACCCGGGTCTGACCCGGTCAGGAAGAGATGGGTCGATGGGGCGGTAGGTCGCCGCCGAGCGTCGGCGCCGGAAAACTCGCCGAAAAAGGACGTTGACACGGTGTTTGAGCAGGAAACCTCGTGTTCTTGGCATATTTGTTCTGGTTTTTGATAAAACAGAGTAAAGAAGTGTGGAAAATGGAAAAAGATTTGATCTTTGGGGGGATTTTTAGTTGCAGAGAGGGGATTTGTTAGGAGAAAGGCCAGGGGTCGGCGATGGAGATGGCTAGCCGGAAAAGGGTGAGGCAGACTTCGGAAAGTGATGTGGGTATATTTGACATGGCAACTTTTTACTAATTAGTTTATGTCATCCGAGTTTTTTTTCCGGCGAGGTGGAGAGGGCGGTGGACGGCGGGGAGGCGGTGGAGGTGGTGGTGGGATGAGGGAGAAATGGTGAGTGTGGGAGAGTCCTTTGTTTTTTAGGAGTAATCGTTCGAGATAAAAATCCCAATAAGATATATAATATATATAAGAAAATAGATAGATGGTGTATGGCTTTATAATTTGTACAATTATACACAAAATATTTGTTTTAGCCGTCTGACCGTTAGTCGGATAATTTATTATAGATTAACAAGCATATATATATATATATATACTAGTAATATTTTTAGGAATCACAATTCAATTTGAAAGATACTGTCTATAATATGTTTTAAATTATCAAAGTTCAATTTGAAGTTTCTTCATAATATCACAATTCAATTTAAAATATATTGTTTTTAAGAGTAACACAATTCAATTAAAATCATATGTTGAAAAGTATGATTAAGATTATGATTGTTTAAACATTAATTTTGTCTAAGATTAACTTTACCAAAAATTAAAAAAATTTAATCAGATATTTTTTCTAGAATATATTATGAGAGCATCTCCAATGCATAAATGTTGTTATCACATAAATTTTGACAAATGTCAATTATTTAGATGGATTGTGAACCACATAAGATATTTGTTAAGTTCAGAACTTTAAATCCAAAAAATTACCTACAATGCACAATGTGATCAACTATAATATTGTTCACTTGGTAAAAATAAATAAATTATAAATAAGAAACAAAAAAATTAAATAATTTAGATATTTTAGAAATGTTAATAATATTTCTCTTTCATCTCTCAATTGGTTA